AAATCATTTGAATAACAGAGAACTGGATTCATAATTTTGATCAGAGTGGGATCTAAATGGGAGAATTTATAATGGTAGGAATTTGAGTGGCTTTTCATTAAGTGTTGACATTTTTTCACTTGCATACAAATCACAGCTTTTTAGCATGAGAATTGGCAAAAAAATTAACTAAAGAAATTTACCATGAAATCGATAAACAATCTATAAAGAATAATTGGAAGACATCTTAGTTATTTTAGATGGAAAACAAATTTTGGGATTATATTTTTTTTTATAAAGTTTCTTTGACTAGATATTCATTTTTATCATATGTGCTATGCCTGAATCTGCACATGAATAGAGAACTTTCAGCAATACTTTAATGGTAATTGTTCGGATAAGGTCTTTGCTAGGGTAGCTAGACTTTATGAATTTAAGGGCAGTACCAGATTGGCAACAGGGTCTCATTAATTTGCAGTTGAATTGGCTAGATGTAACCCGAAGTTCTGTGCTAAGTTTTTTTCTTTTGTTTGTGAAACTTTCCTCTGGCTCCATGTAATCCAGCCAACTTTGAGCTTCCAAAATTTAAATGCAATGTCAATTGTTATCTACTGTCTTTTGGATTACTCTTCTATTGTTCTCACTCCTTCCTAATGTCTTATATTTTCTAATTCTTTGACACCCAGCAATCCCTTATGTCTTAGTGGCTTCATTGCCTTGCTTGGGGTAAATATGATTAAAAAAAAAAATCAATAAAAGAAATGACTAACCAGATTCTGTCAAGGTTGACAATGGTTCAAACAGTGGTTTGCCCACATGTTTACTCATTCATTCCTTGTCATTCCATAAAACATTATTTTGTTAGAAATCATTGTCATATAAAGTAAATTCATTATTAAATGTTTTTCTATAAGTCTTACCAGTTATACAAAAAGAGAGGTAAAGACTGGCAATATGTATATAGAGTCCTAAAAATCAACTGAAACTCAAGACAATTTTAGATTCTTTGGGTCCACCTAATAACTGTCTGTCCTATAATGATCGTTCTATTTAGTATATGAAATGTGTATTCAATCTAACAATTATTATGGGACAGTAGTAATATAAATTTATTTTGTGCATAGTTGAATATCTTTATTGAGTTGTCTACTAAGCTTAGATTATGTCCCTTGAAGACAATAAATTGAACTTGTTAAATAAAGTATAGTCTTAAAAATGAAATTTTAAGGGATACCTTCTTTTTACACAAGCCAAATTATTTAAAAGAAAAGAAAAATAAATAAAAACTAAATTTACTCTAAAATTAAACAACTCATAATTTGCATGTGTGAGACGAAGTCCTTTTAAGAATCCAATAAAATCTCACTAAATTATTCTAAATCTGTTTGTCAGACTTGTGTCTTGCATCAAAATCTTAAAAATGGTAAAAAATAAATAAAGTCAGATTCTTTTCAATTTTAATCTATTGGACATTAATAATGGTAATATAAACATTCAACACCTACTTTATATCACTCAATAATTTTATAATATTCTTATAATTCTGAAATTACTAAATTAATAAAATAAGTAAATGATTCCGGCCATAATTTCAGAAACTGTTCTTAAGAGCTGTACTGACTTTGAACTTGAAGGAATGAAAACTGAAGCCAAACTGGAATTTTGAATAAAAAGAATAACATTGAACAGCATTTGTATAGACAACAGTTGTGAGGTATATACAAAATTGAATTATTTCGTCTAGAAATTCAGAAACACTTTTCTAGAAAAACAAAGTCAAAGCTTAAAGAGATAATACTAAAAAAAAAAATTAAAAAGAAAATGAAGATTTTCATACTGAGTAAATATTTTCTAATTTGAAATTTATTAATTCCCTGTCTAATTTTAAAATACAGAATTCTTTAGCAGAACAGATTTGGAATTTAACGAATATTATCACAGGACTAAGATTTGGACCAGGGCCATTTTTGATCTTTGATCTTTTACTTTTATTTTAGACTAACCAATATTTTTTTTTAAAACTATACCTGAAATAAATTTTATTGATGAGGACAGATCTCCATAATAGATTTTATATAAGATTTTGGGACTCCACAAAAAATGGTTAAGTAGGATTAAAATTATATTACCAAAAAGCTAAGTAAACATCTGCTGTATAATAAATTGATAATTGTACATGATATAAAAGCCTTTCTTTTTCTTAACATTGAAACATGGTCTCCTAGGTTACATTCAGATACAAATTGACTTTTGACATCATGGTTTACTAAAGTTTTTTTTCTATAAGCTAAAAATTGTAATGGTGACAATATTTTTAAATGTAAAATGTTGAGTAAATTATGAAAAACATACTGTGTACGAGATTGAATTAGACTTCAATTTAGTCTCATTTACATTACAGCTTAAAAATAAATTCCAATCTATTGTAAAGAGAAATAAAACGGATAAAAAAATACACGTTCATACTAAATGAGGAAAATAGTTCCATTTCCAAATACTGAATTTGACAGGGCATTATTTATAAGTAAATTTACAACTTCTTGAATACATCTTTCAACGTTTAATTTGAAACAAGAGAAAACATTCAGTTTTTGCCAAATAACAAACTTTTCTTGATTGTTAAATAGAAAGAACATCATTAATATTGATAAGTTTTTTAAAGTCTCGTGACAAAATACTGATGATTGAGTGAATCCTTTGACTCCTTGCAGATAAGAGAAAATATTTAGAGAACAGTAGTGGCAGACCTACATTTTTGGGTTCCTAAAACTTAAATAAATATAGGGACCCCTTCGCAACCAGCAATAATAAATTTAAGGATCCAATTGCCAAAATGTAGGCTATGAATAGATTCTGGAAAATTCAATGAGCCCATACAGCAGGGGGCTCAGGCACTGCAAGCTCCCAAGAAAATTTTGAAATTTGACCAATTACAGAGGAATTTTGAGGCCATATGAAATGGGAATTTGAGAATATTTTAAGGCCAACATTAGCTACTTCAACCCATTGGCATATGATTCTATCACTAAAATTGCCTTATTTTAATGACAAACACTTAACAGGGGAAAAAAAACAAAAAAAAAGCAAAAACATTGATTATGTTGAAAAATTCACTCAATAAAAAACGTTGCATCAGGGGTCCCTCTAGGATTAGGGGGCTTCAAGCTTAAGCTTTATAAGTTTCAGAGTAGATCCGCCAATGGAGAATTTTAAAGATCAGGATAAAGTGGTTACATTATTTTATATTTAGACTGTTGTCTTTGCCGTTATTTCAGTCAACCTTTGGCTTTCTTCAAGTGAATCTGGATTTTAGAATTTGCGTAGTAATTTTATGTTATTGTTTTAAAAAGCATTTTTCTGAAGAGATGAAACAATGCCAGGTAAATTCTTAAGGCTAAATGCAATATCCACCAGAAGAAGGCTGAAGAACATATCAGCAGAAGTTCTAACAATAAAGATAATAGTTTGAATATTGAATTGTGGAGAAAATTAAAAATTCTTTCTCATGACAATGCTGCAGACAATCAGAAATACATTAACAAAAGATAAAGTCTATTTCACTGGATTATGCACAAATTCTCCAACCAAATTATGTGAGGAAATAAAAACATCCATATATATTGCAAAATGGATTATTTCTAGAACTAGATGGAAAGTGTACTATAAGGTTTTCTTTTTTTTTATTACATTTCTTTTCATTTATCAATAAAGATAAATTTATTATCATAAAAATGCAACTTGGAACTTTTATATAATTGAATTTAAAAACAAAAATATCCCTGATTAAAATGTGTAACATAATGGCATATGGGCCAATATTGGAAGTAACATTTTTTATTACATCCAGAATAAAAATACTTGAGTATCACAAATAAAAACATCTATAAATGCATGGTTGGCCATATTAATCTCATTTTTTCAACATTTTTATAGAATTTAAAAATCTTTTCAAATTGAAACTAAACCAGAAATATCATCTATTTTATTATTTTTATGCAAACATAAAAACATAAAATGTAGAAATTTCACTAAAATCCTGTTCATTTTTCTTTACTATGACTAGTTTAATTTGAACAGATTCAAGGTTTATTCAAATATCATTTTTAATATAAAAGTATTTTTGTCAAATAAACACAAAATGTCTACTTCTCTAGAGTATTTGAACATTTTTTTCCACAAATCAATTTGTGCTAATGGCTATTATTTATGGCTAATCTTTTCTAATTTTGCTTAGTAAATTTTAGTTTGAATAAGAAAAAGACTTGAAACCAGTATTAGAAAAGAAAAGCCAGTCAATAACTAAGGAAGCAATAATCAATATAAATTGTGCTAAGGAAGCTTTTTTTTGCTAGTGTTTTAGTTTTACCTTTACTTTTTTTAAATCTTAAAAACTAAAAAGTCAATGAAAATAAAAAGGAAATAATTTGTGACAATGTTGATATGGTTACAAACAATTCAATATAATGGACAGAATTTTTAATTTGTGTGCTGGGGTGGGAGGTCACTGCCTTTTCTTTAACAAAATCAAACAAAATAGGAAAATAAACAAAAAATAATAAAAGATTTTTTAACAGGATTTGAAAAATAAAGTTTACACACAAAATCACAAACAAAACTTTAAAAAAAATAAAAGATGGGTAAAAAAAAAGTCGTTTTAAAGAAAAAAATTTTTCTTTTTTAGTAAAATTTTGAATATTATTTTGCGATTTTTTCAATAGAAAATTTACTTTTTTTTTAAATTTTTATTGGTGACTTTTTTTTCAAGCAATAATTTTTGCTCGTATTTTTTTTTTTTTTTTTTTTGGTAATTTTCTTTTTCTTGGTAAGTATGGGGATACTTTAAAAAAAATCTTTCCGACAACAACAAAAAAAGATAAATATTTGTAGATATGGGATTAGAGATTATTTTTGTGGGGAGGGAAGTGGAATAATACTTCATTATTATGATTTGTAATCTCTTTTTTTTTCTTTTTCAGATCATAACAATATAGAATAACAATAAACTAGACTTTCTAAAAACATTATTCCCATTCAGTTGTACCTGGTGGTTTGGCTGTGAGGTCATACATCACCCGAGAAATGCTGGGTACCGTACTCAAAATACCGTCAACCATCGAACTGAGTACTTCTTCGGGTAGACGAGCCGTGCCAGGAGTTGCTGGGACACCAGTCATAAAATCATTTGTGATAAAAGTCCTAATCACTATCGATCTTTTAGTGGAAGGTTGAAAATTGACAGGGTCGCGATCAAAATGAACAGGGCAGATGATGATTGGCATCTGGCTGAGTTTCGAGATGTAGCCCGAATCTTGTAGAGTTTTGCTAGCCACATAATCAGCTTGTCGTAAGGTGGCAAGGACATCTTCCGATAGAAAAGTTGGAGTGATATCTTTGATTGGATATCGAACTCTTTCCCCGAACACGTACACAACTCGATTGATGTTGTGACAGATTTTTGGTATAAATTTGGCCAACTTCATCAGGGTTTCCCATTTAGGTTTGCCATCAGCCGACAAAGCGGCCACATAACTGTAAGTTCTGTGGTCACCTTGGACTCCCACGCTTTTTATGGGTAACAAGTGAGCACCCATGCCTTCTACCCCAGTGGTCAGTGCAGACAGCTGACTTTGTTCGTTGGGTGGTAATTTCTCCTTGACTACATCCAAGTAATGTGGGGAAGTTTTCAGGGCGTTGTTAAAATTGATTATAATCTTTAGAAGTTGGTTAGTTTCGTCAAAATCTCTTTCCATGTAACGGTCTTCGGCGCATATCACGCGAATGGCAAGCCCAGGGCCCGGGAAAGGATGTCTTTGTACTAATTCGGGTGGAAGACCCAACTCTTTACCAAGAATTCGAACTTCATCCTTATGAAAATCTTTTAAGGGCTCAATTACGCGACCCACACTCCGAAGTTTTCTGACCAATTCAGTGTCGTTATGATGGGTTTTAATAGCCGAGGCTTTCGAACTAGCCAAAGATGAGGCACTTTCAATCAAGTCGGGTCTCAGTGTTCCCTGACCAAGGATAACATCTTCAGGGTTCAAATTCATTTCTTTAAGGACATCGTCAGTTATTTTTATAAACGTGTCCCCAATAATTTTACGCTTTTCTTCGGGGTTACATGTGTTGTTCAAAGCATTAGTTTGTCGTCTGGCCGACTCAGGGTCATTCTTGTTAATGGGGAGAGTTGTAGTGGCATGATAGAACGTCTGAGCTGCTCGAATTACTTTAACTTTGACACCAATTTTGGATAGAGATTCTTCCACTTGGCTACTTTCTGATTTTCTCATGAAACCATTATCGATATGGATGGCTACAATCCGATCTCCGTGGAGGGCTTTTCTAAGTAAGGCAGCACACACGGTAGAATCTACCCCTCCACTCAACATCATTAGAACCTTTTTATTGCCAACGACCTGACGAATATGTTCGATACATATCGATTCCCGTGAGTCAAGAGTGAAATCAGCGCGACACCCACACACGTGGTACAAAAAATTTTTCAACATGTCTTGTCCATTTTCCGTAAGATCGACTTCAGGGTGAAACTGGACCCCGTATATACGCAGTTGATCATTACCAATGGCAGCAATTATGTCTCCCGACGTGGCCACAGCTTTAAATCCTTCCGCCACTTTTGCCACGCTGTCACCATGGGTGAGTAATACTTGCTGTTTAGGATGGAGATCTTTGAAAATTGGACAGGTCTGGTCGACTGTGATTGTGAACTGTCCATCTTCCCGTATCTGTTTACTCTCGATTGTTCCCTTGAACTCTTTATTCATCATCTGCATGCCGTAACAGATGCCCAGAATAGGTAGACCGCATCGGAATAAATTCGGGTCGTAAGTGAGTGCATTTTCGGCGTACACAGAATTCGGTCCCCCGGAAATAATAACTGCACTGTAGTGTTGTTCTTTTAAACGAGTTACCGGGGTGTCCAGAGGTAGAATATCAGCTTTAATCATTAATTCCCTTACCTTTCGGTCGATCACTTTACAATACTGTGCCCCAGCATCCAATATGCACACCTTTTCTTCGTCGCCACTTGTACTACACGTGGACTCAGCCATTCCCCCATGATTTTCATCCGTCATTCTTTTACGTCCTAACCGTCTCGATGTGGCTCCAACTCCAGTCCCAAAATGTGAGGAGCTCTTGAAATTGTCGACCACAGCAGTGGTGATGATTCTGGTAGCAGACAAGCAATGGAACCGTTCCTTCGCTTTGATTAAGACCTTACACCCGCCACCACCAAAATGGCTAAGGTGACCGATTTGAAGCTTCGTAAACGACCGACTCAAAAGGACCCCAGCGAAATGTATTACCGGACAAATCTTAGGCCAGCAGACGAGCATAGAATTTTTTTTCCCGCAAGTGTGTGGGCGGCAAGATGACGACCGGAGAGTGAAAAACGAGGCTGATTGCCGATTTTAGAGTAGCAGATGGAAGATGAGAACACTGCGGCTGTCTATTGGCGCCTTAATGTAAAATCAAGGGAGATGATCCAAGCACTTAGGCAATGTAAGGGACATAACTCGAGTTAATGAAGCATACTAGGCATCAGAGCAGCTGTCATTTAATTATCAAGGGTGTCACACACACACACACACACTCATACACATATAAAATTATGATATATATATAAATATATATATATATATATATATATATATATATATATATATATATATATCATTATATTATCATAATATATATATCATTATATTATCATTATATATATATCATTATATATATATATATATATATATATATATAATATATGATGATATATATATATTTTAAGAGAATACTTTTAAATATTTCAAACTTTCTGAAAATTAAATAATTGTAATTGTAATGATGTTTCCTTATAAGGAAACATTCAGCATTCATTGCTTTTGGTTGAAATTCATAAAATCTTTCTCTTAAAACAACTTTTCAGGAAATCAGGTTTTTCAAGTGCAGTAGTTTTATTGCTCTGTACACTACTGATGGGTGTTTTTTTCCTAACCTTTTATTTGAAGATGTGTGGAATGTTAACATCTTGATTATGTCATTATTTTATTTTCAAGTTCCATATGATATTCATTTTAATTGTTGCTGCTGTTGGTAGTCCTCAAGCGACATGGTTTCTGTTATTTGGAACCATTCTTCCTTTGTGAATCTGTAGTGCCAGTCCACAATGTTTAAAAAGGGTTGATCTTTGCCAAGGCACTCAGGTTTCACTTGCTCAAAGCCTTTTTTCACCATTGGTTATAGGAAGCAATTGTATACAGCTGACAGTTTACATATTTCTGGACAGGTTTGGCACCATGCATGACATCCATATGAAAGTTTCAATCTGACAAGGCTATTTAACAACACAATTCAAATTTTCAGGGTGATGTTTTTGTTCTGTAGTAACTTACAGTGTAGAGTAAAATTACCTCTTCTATGTTTGATTTCCTATTCTCCAATACTTAATTTGTCATAATTATGCCATATGCTGATGTATCTGAAGTGTTTAGTATTTATTAATTTCATATCTTGATTTTTTTTATACAGGGTAGATGCCATCACTGCTTTCATTCCAATTCCAGATCAAAGTTTCTGTTTTGGAAAGATTTATCTTGAGTCCCATTTCTTGGAACTCTTGATAGGGGATGTTGATTTTCAGTTCAAGATCATTCTTATCCCAACTATGAATACCTATGTCATCAGTACAGCCACCTTCACCATCAGTACATTGGCCACAGCAGGGAAAGCAGAATCATTGTCTTCTATTGATAGACTTGTTTGAGATTTGGTATGGAATGCTAAGATGGTTAGTGCTCATCTCATTATATCTGTGTTTGTAAATGTGCAGGGCATAGTCTAGGAAGAGATTAAATAGACTGGGGCTCTCATTTCATCCTTGTCATACTCCTGATGAGTTTTGAAATGTTTCCATATTGTGGTCCTTGGCAGACATGTACAATTCTGTAAATTGATACAGTTCCTTTATTACATCATTGCATTCAGTGGATTCAGAGATTGGAAGGTGGTTTTTAATGGATGAGAAAAGTCTCTATTGATGTGGTAATATGCTGCTGTCAGGTTAACAAAGCAGGTATACAGTTTCCTATTAGATAGATATGCACTCTCTTGGAGTTGTTTGATGACATATATGCCATTGTTGCATCCCTTTCCAGAATGAAAACCAAACTGGGTTATAAGAAGTTGACTTTCATAAAATGATGAGAGTCTAGTTAATATTATGTTCATTAATATTTTCACCATTATAGATTCAAATGAGATACCTCTGTATGTATGAGAATGCTGAGGGTTACTTTTCTGTTTTTATAATGCATTAATAAACCTCATTTTCTGGGAATGCATTTCTGATTTCAGACTTCTTTCATAAAATAGAAAAAATAAGCTATTTTCAATACTTCTGCCTCAATGTCCAGTGATGCTTTATTATTCTTCAATGTTTTAATAGCTTTCTTAATGGTAAGTTTATAATGGATATGGCATGTAAATACACAGAGATACAAACATATAATGGCTGGCTACTTGCTTTCAAGAAGCCATCTGTTAAGGTGTCTAGCCAATCTCTGTTATAAACATCTACTCAGGCACATTTGTGTTTGTTCAACACCCACAGATAACTTGTGTCTTATACTGCAACAATGCTGAGCAAACCTTAGTCTATGGGAGAGCAGAACATGGTATTAACAACAGTTTGAAGAAGGCCAGTACACTCAAAACCTCAGTCACAATGACTTGTGACTTCAACTAGCACAACCATCAATGGCCTCTGAACAGTTCTGTTTATCTAATTTCATTGACTAGTCTTAGGTCAATCTGTGGTGTGTTCTTTAGTCCTTTTCCAATGGTACCACATGCTGGGATCACATCCCCAGGATGATAACATCAAGTAGTCACTTTCCTGACAAATCAACTAAGGGGAGATTTGAACCCATTTCTCATTGTCTGAAAGTGAATGTTTTAATTACTTGGTCATGTGCCCTTATGATATAGATATGTGTATTTGCATACAGAAGTCATCAATTGTCCACACTTATCACCTGAGATATATATATCATTTTGTGGCTTTTTCCACAAGGGTTTTTATAGGAGTAGTCCTATCAGAGTCATATGTTATGTAAATATACAGAGATATAAACATATAATGACTGGCTACTTGCTTCCAAGCACCCATCTGCTAAAGCAAATCAGCAAACTGTATGATTGAGTCAGAAAAGGGGAGTGAAGATATATTTTTTAAAAAAAGAGAGAGGAAAGAAACCCTGGAAAAAAGTAATAGAAATTGAAGTGAAAATAGTCAGTTCCAAGTAAGAAATAAAAAAATTATGCATTAAATCTATGTCAGAAACACTTGAGAATTACTTCATGAGGCTCAGTGCAAGTGAAAATATCTGTTAGAATAATGGGGATCAAACCATGTAAATGCCACCAACATGTGTGTATGTGTGTGTAATTGGCACTCTTAACCTTTAGGTAATTATAAAGTGTAAAGGGAGATTATTAGAGTATGAAACTGGTTCTGATCCAGCTCTCATTCCTCGTAAAAATACTGGTTATTATTGTCTGTTTTATTTTCATGAATATGCAGTAAAGATTCAAAATAAAATGGAAGAGAGTCTGAAATGTATGTGTGATAAAGGATCTGAAATTAAATTAAATATTTTGTTAAAGAAATCAACTGTTAACTGAAAAGATAAATAAAATTAATGAATTAACTTTCATAACAAATATCTCTCTCATATACAAGATTTAATTCCTGGAATGATCCCGTGAAAGCAAACTTTGCTTACCTGGTCTCTATTGGCTGTGTGTCATCTTCAAAGTACTCCCTTTGTAAAGCAATCCACACTGTGGGACAATGGTACCATTACTGGAATTTTTCAATTTTGGAAATAGCTAAAATCTGCAAAGGGCTAAGTCTAGTGAATAAGGTGGCTGGCCGACTTATGTCATAGAATTCTTAGTCAGAAACTCACAAACTTCTAATGTATCTTTTTTTCACTCTCCCAAATCCTCTGGTAAAATCTGCCACACTTTATTTATTATATTCAGGGATGGATTATGACCCTTTGAGGCCCCTAGGCTAATGAAATTATGGGGCCCTCTTCCTCTAACTCACTTACACTTGTGTTAAATATTTTTTACTCATGATATATTTTAGCAACATTTACACAGCTTGAAGTAGACTTGTTGTATCCTGTCGACATGTCCACATTTTTTAAAAACAACTAGAAGAAAAAACTTAACCAGCATTGTTGTAAAACTGGTTCAGGATATAAAGAGGCCTCAAAAGCACTCCAGTGGCTATGATCATATTGTAGTATCTGTTCCGTGGCATTGTCCAACCATGTCTAACTTAGACAAGCTTTGTGCCCAATCCCACATAAGCAGGGACTGGGTAAATTTTGTCCAGTGGCCTGAGTGTATACACTCAGGTTCCCCACAGTAAAAATTGACCTTGTGTTGGAATCTTTGTAAATTTTTTTTTCAGCAGGGATGTGTTGGTGATAATCTTTATGGAAATGTAAAAATTTGTGGCTTAAATTTTTTTTTTTTTTTTTGAGTAGAATTTAGTCATGAAAATATTGGTGGTTATTACAAAAAGAATAACATTTTCTTAGATTTTTTTAAATACAAAAACCTGTTCATTATAAAAGTAAATAATTAATATGTACTGAAATTTTCATTTAAATTGGATAATTCACTGATTTTTGGTAATTTAAAAAAAGTGCTGCCCCAGGACCTCCCCCCACCCCCGCTCAATTTTTCTTCAAGGGTTTGTGAACCCCAGGTTGGGAAATTTTTAAATCGACATGGAGTAGAGACCCTGTATCAAAGTTTGGGCAGGGGTGAGACCCTAGCACCGGCTCTGAAAGTGCTCAATATTAGATAGACTGTATGTAGAAATATAAAAGTGAACACTGAGGTCAGCACCAAGTTGCAACAGTCTATTTCATGCTTGAATATAATCTTCATGGCCTGAACATTGCATTCAAGCATGAAACAGACTACCATAACTTGGTGTCACTCCCAGTGTCATCTTATATATATATATATATATATATATAGGGTAATAAAAATTGGGCATAGAAAATGTGGACATAGGAATCAACACTGCATAGCTGATCATATTCAACATCTGAAGTATACTAAATTAATATTTAGATATTTCTCTTGGCTTTAAACATTTCTGAAAGAAAACAACTAAATCTCTTATACTCAAAACTATTGTTAATTTTTAAATGTTTTTATAGAAAAATCTTTTGTAATCATCCACAAATCATCATGATTTAATTAATTAGACGCAAAAGGAGGGCTATACGCAGAAATTATTCTGTTAGTCCAC